TCAGGACAGTTTGGACATTGCGGTGAATCAGAGGTAAAAAATGATATAAATACTGTTCAGTTTCTTGCACTGACTGATCGTTTTGTGTCTTTACACATCAATGTATCGTCACGAGCCGCAGGGTTTAATTTGGTTTTGTTTGTGTATGTTTTTTTGACTCTCAAAGCCGTGATTCCCATTCACTTCCATTATATGACTGACAGACTGCAACGGTTTGAGTTAAAAATCTTTGTTTGTGTTCTACTGAAGAAACAAAGTCACCTACATCTTGGATGCTCTGGGGGTAAGCAAATAAACATAACATTTTAATTTTTGGGTGAACTATCCCTTTAAGTGTCCACATACTTTTGGTGCCCACATGTAGTTTTCCTTTGGTTATATAACGTCGTACCTTACTGTTTGCCACCCCTTCAGGTTCCCGATGGAAGTCCATGTCCAATCAGGAGAAGCAGCCATACTACGAAGAGCAGGCCAGATTGAGTCGGCAGCACCTGGAACGTTACCCAGACTACAAATACAAACCCCGGCCGAAGCGGACCTGTATCGTAGAGGGCAGACGACTGCGGGTCGGAGAGTATAAGGCCATGATGAAGAGTCGGCGACAGGAGCAACGAGTAACTTACCCTCCAAGGTGATGCCTGCAGACACTCAACAAGTTTTCTTTTTTCAGTGGTGCATTTGGTTGGAGAATGCAGTCATCAGTCTTATAAAATAGCTGATGTTTGGTTTGACGTTTATTCCCACAGCCAATCAGAGCAGCAGCTACCGTACCCTACCAGTGAAGGACAGTTCCAGACCACGCCGGTGTTAATGGCCCCATTGCCCTTGCACCCTGCCCTCCTGGAGCACTACCTTCCTCGGGGTCTGGAGCCCATTAAAGGCCAAGGGAGTGAGATGCGGGAGGTCACGCGGCCCAGACAGCCCTACAGCGAAGGGGAGGAGAGTGATGCGGGTGAACGCAGTGAGGGAGAGCTGGTTGTCCTCACTGACTGAGATAGAAGGAGGAAAGGATTGGAGGACAGAAAGGGCGGAAAACGCCTTTCAAGGGGGAGTGAGATGGAGAAAATAACTGGGAGATTTTGCAGTCTCTACCTACAACATGATGGTGTCCAATAAATGGTATAGGTCAGTGTTTTCCAGTCCAGTTGTGAGGATGTCCTTGCAAACTTGTTTCAAACCTACCAGATTGGTCACATGGTTCTATAGGGTTGGTTAGGAAGGCAGCAGACATGATAAATGAAGCATAGATCTTCATTTTTCAGATTTTTCCAGTGGTGTAGGCCAGACAGGATAGGTCTTACATACTGACCACAGCTTGGAAAAAGCAAGACTTTTTCAATCTACAATATTCATTGTGAGACTGCACATCTTGAGAGTTTTGAAGGCACTGTGAAGCTGGTGTGCAAGAATTGTTTTACAAATCATCAAATGTCACTGCACATATTATGAAGTAAATGTTATCTGCAAAGTGCATAAGAAATTGCACAAGAATCGGCTTTTCTAGAAGGGGTACAGATACGTATATTCACTTTTGGTGTATCTGAAAAAGTTCTACATTTGACATCATGTCAAATGATTGGCAATAATAGGAAGGAACAGTTCATCCAAAAATGAAAAGGAGATTAGGGAGAGTAAACAATGAAAAAAATCATTTTTTTGATGAACTATTTCTTTAAATAGTCAATGCACTGAGAGCTCTGCATCATTTTGCCATAGAAAAAAAGCTAATGCCTCTGTGTTATAATGCTTCTTGATGTCACCAGGGTTTTCCTGCAAAAGTTCCTGTTAAGACTGTGCCAAGGTACTTTCCAGACCTCAAGGGCTGAGAAAAAAAAAAAAAAAGAAAACAAGTTAACATGGAAAAAGGAAGGAACATTCCTGAGCTCTTTGTCCAGTTTATTATATCAGATAATGACGATTAGAGGCTGTTCTGTTACAGAGATTTAAGCAGCTTGCCCCTTTAAAGATTTGCTAAAGGCAGAGAAGACTGTAGTCTGTCTTCGGGTTGGTTGCGTCCTCTGTTGTTTGAATCTGGGTACTGCACTTAAAATATTTCCCCAGATTAAAGTCATGTTTCGGTTTCTTTTGATTTAGTGCAAAATATGATTCAGAACAATTTTTTTTTTCAGAGTAGAATTTTGCACTTGATGTACATATGCAAATCATTTCTACTATCCATTTTGTGAAAGGAGATGTGAATAATGCCCTTCCCTCAAATTACACCCATTTTTTAAAAATTGGTTTACTTTTCTTTTTTTAGTGTGTGTGTGTGTGTGTGTGTGTGTGTGTGTGTGTGTAGTATTTCGGCATGTGTGTGTATATAGAGTGAGCTTGTGCTGAAGAAAATAACGGAGTTATCATTCCAGCAGTTCTTATGACCGGGTCCATATTATTGGGCTGCTAGTCAATTTACAGTTGAGCTGAAACGTAAACATTTTGTTAAAAATGATAAACTTTTATATTTTAAAGATGCGATTTTAGAAGATATTTGCCAGTTGACTGTTGTGATAAACCTAGCATGTTAAAGGAAATGATGACATGTGTATATAGCTGGATACAGAAATATACGGTTTGTATTTTATCTGTAGAATGAACCCCGGGGAGGAAAAATATGATTCGCAATCTAGACAACTGTTGCAAAACCAGCTGTTGTAAAATATAGAGATAGACTTTATTTTGTTTATAAAAGCGTATAATTTAAAGGTGTACATGTTCTAATCCCCCCCCCCGGTATGTTGTATTTTTCCAAGCAAGTTTTGTGGTTTGTTTTTGAAGCATAAATAAAAATGTTATGTTTAGGCTACTTCTGTGGTTCAGATTCATTTTTATATTTTTTGGCGCAATCGCTGAATAACTGGATTCTGATTAGTGAAGAGCTAATCCAAGTCATAAACATTATCCGGCTATTTGACATCTGCAAGACGTATTTTTTATAATGTTTGCTCATCTGCAATACGTCTGCAGGACGATTCCTATCAGATGTCAAATAGACGTTTAAAAAAAAGGATGTTTATGATTTAGAATGGATGTAAAACTGACATCTTAAAGACGTCTATCAGATGTTTGTACACAGCAGATGCTTTCCAGATGAAGAGATCTTTAACAGACATCATAACAAAAACATGACATTGTATTTTGCACTTAAATGCTCATGTAGCGATACGACACTGGCACAACTAGGAAGTCGATTGTTTGAGAAAATGGTCATTTACCTCATTCATACAAGCTGAATCTCTGAAGCGAGATGTGCAAAAAAAAAAACTAGCTCCAGCACATTAGCACTGAGGATGTTGTCCTGCATGTGTGTGCCTGCATTGTGCTTGTTTGATTCAGGATATCCTCAATAGCGGTCTTCCTGTGCCTACCGGGACAAAATACAGGTCACCGTCCACAGGAGACAGGCAAAAGTTCAATGAGGAAACTTAAGTGTTGGACCGGGTGTGATACAGAAGACACTTTGGGTTACCAGAGGCCACGCTGAAACAAATCAAATTACAGATTTGTTAATATATATCAAAGGAAAAAGGAAATCTGCGCACAATTAGATCCAACTTTGACATTTTAATGGAAAATGTGAATAATTATTAAATTATTCTCCACACAGTTGAATAGAAGCCAAAACATTGTACAGTATTTTTCACAATATTTCACAGTATTTACAGACTCCTTATCAGCGCTTTATAGTAACGCCCTCTGCTGGTCTTCAGCAAACGCACACACTTGAATTCATGCCAACCTAACAACCCAATACACTCCCAGTTCAGTTAAATATACAAAAAAGTAGAAATATTAAAGATATAAGGATAAATGAAACATTATCTGTACATTTCTTCAGTACATTCACAAAAGAACTGATCTCAAATAAAGCGCACACCGTGAAGCCGACTTGTTTGGTATGTTTTCAACATGGCAGCAAACGAAACAAGAATCCCAACACAGATGCTTCCTGTAAACATCCCTTTTAAGAGCAGAGGTTTAAAAAGGGATTTTTACAAGGTCATTTCAAATAATAGAGATAATAACGGGAATGGTGCTTGTAAACATTTCCCCCTTCACATTAGAAATGTCCTTCATATCATAAAAGAAAAGTAACTAATATTTTACAAACAGAAGTGGTTTTCATCTGGTGGACACAAACATATGCACATCTACACACAGCTTGCAACTGCACTCCTGTTATATGAACAAGTTGTTCAAATTTATAACATTCTTCATGCATGCATGGAATATGCAACCTACTGTATATAAATATTTTTCACTTTTTCAGTCATCATGGACCACTAAGTGACAAAGATATGTAAAGAAAGCATAACCTGACCTTGAAAGTTGAATCTTATGGAAACTGCCAAGAGCACATGCGGGCCATATTTCACCACAAAATCAAAAGAAAGAAATATGTATGTGAATATGAAGTTTGTAGGACCTTTTTTTTTTTTTTATGACAATCCCAGTAGCTTACTGTAATTCTAATACATTTAGCCTTTTCATTACTGTAATGCACATTAAGTTGTATATCACATTTGTTAAATAGATTTACATTTTTTAATTTATGTTGATTTTAATTTATGTTCACACAGTATTTTTTTAACATTGCAAAAATGGGAATGTTTTTGCATTTTGCAAAACATTATTTCTTACTTTTACTTTTAATTGTAGGGTGAAATTTCACATGGAAATGTTTTCTCAAGATTCACCTAAAAATTGCAATTCAAGTTTCCGATCCAAGCAGTGAGAAGTGGACAAAACCAGAACAAAGTATATTAGCACAGAGCTATCAGGCAGTTCCAACTCATTAGAGAAACATTGGCTACAAATTATTCATGATTTTGTTGAAGGGCCTCTCCCTTTAGTTGCTGCCTGTGGCTCAGAGCGTTTCATTATTAACCTGCTCCTGCACAGAGTCAGAGATTTCACAGTTGACCCCACTGCTCAAACGCAACGGCTAGCTTCAGTTTCGAGACATTCTGAAAATGACTGCTGTACTGATTGTTTAGGGACTGATCTGGTCGGTCAGGAAAAGGACATTTGGGTTCAAGAAGCTGCCAGACAGACAGTTATTCCAGTTATACAGATACAGTACTGACTCACAATGGAGGAATCACATATTCAGGTCATATTTCATCACAAAAGTGAGGGGGAAATTAAGAAATTACATTTTGCATTAAAAGAAAATAGAATCTGTTTTTCAGGCAGTCTGACATTTCCATTAGCTCATTTTTTCCCTCCCCATTTTCTTTTAATGCCTCCACATTTTTTGTGTTTTATTGATTTCTTTATTGTCATACTTCTCAATAATTTCCACTGGATTCTCGATACCATGTAATACAGTAATTTGAATTTTTCGGGCGAAGGCATAATATACACAAAAATAAATAAAATGTGAAATGTGAAATGATCCAATTTTAGATGAACAGCAATGAAACTAGATGAAATTCAAAATGTTTTGAAAAACACTCCGAAAACCACATGCAATCAGACAGTCCAGGTATTAAGGACTTTCTCCAGTGAAATGGCAATTACATCCTTAAATCCACAATTAATTTTCTGACCTTAAATAATGTTGTCCTTTTCGATCCAGGACATTGAGTCCTCACAGATGGTGACCCGAATCAAACTACACAACACTGTTACATAAATATTGCCCCGTTTCCAGTTTTGGAAAACCATTAGATTGACGTTTAAGGAGGGGGTTTACATTAGGAATGAGCTTAGTGATCATTGAGCAGATAATGACTTTCAAATCTCAGTTTGAGCTCTGCCAGGTGATGCAAACGCATTTAGGACAGAGAGCGAGAGAAGGAGGGGGAAGTGGGAGGCAGGTGGTAATATTCCACAGCCTGTGATGAGTGGAAAATTCAACGGAACTCCTCACAACCATAAAAGTTAAATAGATGGAAATGTGGCTGAGGGGTCTCGTGGCCCTGACTTCTTGGGAATGTATAGAGTGAGGTCAGATAGACTTCAATGGTTACTTGGTTACTTGCCTTTTAGCTGACGCAGTTCATCCAAAGTGACTAATTGCAGGGTTTAACTAATTTGCTCAAGTGCGTAATAGTGCAGGATTTTGACCTTGGCAACTATCTAGTTCCTGAGTCACCCCTGCTTGGCTCTAAACCGGAAACTTTTGTATTAACAACCCAGATTTTTACCCATTACCCCAATTTCTTCTCATCTTTACTGCACAGTGAGATAAATCTGAAAGCATTAGCACATTTTTGGTCTTCGAGCATTTGTCATCGCAAAAGAGACAACAGTGGGCCTCAACCATTTGACAAAAGCATTATGAATCTACAGTCTGAGGTGTTTCGTGTTAGTCAACGCCCCCAAGTATCAATATATCTTTGCTAAACATCACTACAGGCCTCCTTAACAGCAAATCTGCATACGTTTGCTATGGCTCTCACACCGCCAAACCCATAACATGAAGCCCCAAAGCAAAGTCAGCTCCAAGAGCGGAAGGACTACTTTGGTGCAAAACAAGTGCCCAATAATAATTAATAAATAAATTGTAATTAAAACATATAAACACACTCATTTCATGGGAACTAGAAGTTCAGTCCCAAAGAGAAACATGGTGTTTGAAAAAGGAATCAAGAATTTGTGGAACTAAGCCTTGGCAGACAAGTTGTCAACCAATCATAAGCGGTCCCAGTGCTCACCCCTGCTGTATCCCCATACCCTGCCCCGACTGAAAAGGCCTCTGATTCCATGGTCAAACGGTCAACAATGAGGTCAGCAGATACCAGCACTGTCCTCTCAATCTTGACGTCTCATTTGGGGATCTCCAGGGCCATTACATCAGGTTTGGTCTTGAAGTACTGATTGAAACGCAGCACAGCATACCTAGGAAAAGGGTATTACAGAATCAGAAATTAAAATTAAAATGGGATAGAATTAGTAGAAAGCATTGTCAGATTTTTTATTTTTTATTTATATTAATATTATCCACAATAATTATTTTGCTTTTACCTTTATAAGTAGACATTTGTATAACCAAATAAAAACTTACAACAAGTCACCCATTTATGTCAAATACTTTTTAAATATAGTTTTGACCAATTATGGCTGTTATCCATAAAATTATCACGTATTTTAATGTATTTATACACCATGTTTGTATTATGTTTGTAGCACAATACAAATAAATGTATTATTAAATACAAATAATTTTCAAAATAGCACAATAAATGCTATTTAAAATAAAATAAAATTTTAAATAATTTGATGGCCCCTGAGTTGGATTATATATTATACTGAATTCCAAAATACATCAAATATGAAATAAGATTTAAAAAGGCAAAACGGGCATTTTGTCTATTTTGGTGGCATTTTTGACTTAAGACCTGGTTAATTGTTGACTCTGAAAGTCCCAAAAGATTAAATAAATGTACATAATTTTTTTAACCTTTCCCTACATGCGACAAGGCTCATTTTCTAAAGGGACTGTAGGATCCCTCCTGATCTCATATGCGCAGGCAGTGATTTGTTGTTAAAAGGTGCAGCCTGAGAGGAACCACGACCTGTTGCTTGGAAACTGGCAACGTAGGAAGTTTACAGAATATATTACTTGAGTCAGTTTAATAAAACTGAGCCACGGTTCCTACAAAAATATCCTCAGCCTACGGATGACATAACTCACCCCCTCCAAAAAAACCAACTAAAGAGTAACTTGAGTAAAGTTTCATTGTGCTACAGATACACAACACTGAGGATTTTGAGTGCGGTTTAGGTCGATTGCCAAAGTCACAGAGGGTAGCAGGCCGCAACTTATTGCAGTCAAATCTACTTTTCACCTCTTGAAACAAACACCATTGACTGGTTTCTATGGGCAATAGAAATAACAGTCCACATTCATTTTACAGTATGTGGGAGAGCTTCATATAAGACCTTCACCTCCAACTGAGACTTTCATTCAAAGATTCACATCTTATGTATTTTTAAAGTGCAAAGACAATAGACATGGTATTGGGACTGTTTTAGCCATGAACTCATGAGATCTCAGCTTCATTTCAGGTCTCGTGTGATTCTGTCTGGTGAATAGTTAGGTATTAACTTTGGTTTGAAGCAGTTTCTGCTCAAGAATTACTTTGGCCAAATTATATTTTGACTTACATGAAAGAATAAAAATGCATGAATGGAAATCGGAGCAGAAAATGGGTAAATTCTCAAGCAGAAATTAAATGTATAATTTGTAATATTATTTAATAATAAGCATATATGTGTGTGTGTGAGTGTGTGTGATATATATATATATATACCGTATATATACACACACACTTTTAGTGCGTTTTAATAAAATGTATTTATTATTATTACTTTTTTTTTTTAAATATCTGAATTTGGTCTAATTTGTCCAATAAGGCAATATCAGGATTTATTTCCAGTATACAATTTTATATAGCTTACAAAAGTATCTTCTGGAACCAAAACTTGCTTGTGTATTGGCTGCATTAGTAGTCACCACTTCCTGTCAATTACATATCACTTACTGTACATTCTTTATCTGCCATTAATATCCATTTCTCTTAACACAGTCAGAGTTGATAAAGATCTTTATGCCTGTAAATAAATCCTCCCCATCACAGAGATGAAAGGTTTTCTGAGCTGGATATGCTGCTTACCCGAGGAAGTCAAACTCGATGGTGGAGTACTTGGCTTGGATCAGGGCCCAGAAACCCCAGAAGAAATGTGAGGCCTGCCAAACGGAAGAACAAGAACTTCAGGCCAAAGCCTTCTAGCTCAATCCATAAACAGACATATCACTGACACCAATCAACATGCAAAAAGCTTTTAAATCCAAATCCTTGGAATAAACAAACATAAATCAACTTCATAAATGCAGCATTATCAAAACACTTCCTCCGCTTTGATCCTCTGCAAACTCACCAGAGCAAACTTGTTGACCTGTACGTAGAGCGTCTCCAGCTCAAGCTGGCTTACCTCTTCACCTTTCTTGGTAAAGAGCTTGTAGGCCTGCAAGTAAGTGTGCAACCAGTCCAACTGCATCTCTCGACTGGGATAAAGGTTATAGTCGGGTTCACTCATGCCTGATAAACACACACACACGAGGTTAATGCTAAACAAATCCCATAGGAGTATTTTTGTGAATGATATTTTGACGCTGCTCACCTGCAAATTCATTAAAATGATTTCCAATGTCAAATGCTTGGTAGTTGTAACTTGAGTATTCATAATCGATACACCGAACATGGCCTGAAAACAGCAACAGAGGTTTATTTGCAGTAAATAAGACAAAATATTAGACTTGAATGCATTTTTGAAACGAAATCCCAAAATGTAATGCCTTAGTTGAAAAGGCACTTCGGCTCTATGGTGTTGTCAATATTTCTTTCTTTGAGTGTCCCAACATGTAAACTTCTGGCTCAACCAAATGCAGGATCTCATGTTTGCCTAAACAATAAAACACAGGAGGCAGCATGGACGGAGCAGCAGTAGTGTTTGAGAAATCTGGAAGCACTCAATATATACAGTATGCTATTCCGTTGCACGCTGCAGATTTTAAAACAACAGAAAAAGACATTCACAGTGCATTTAACTTGAGTACTATGACATAGACACTACCGTCCAAAAGTTTCAGACAGAGGTCAGTAAGTCCCCCGCCCCCTGAGAGAAATTAACACTTTTATTCAGCAAGGACCCATTAAATTGGTCAAAAAGCCACAGTACAGATATTTATAATGTTGCAAAATATTTCTATTTCAAACTAATTCTGTTCTTTTGAACTTTCTATTCATGAAAGAATCCTGAAAAAAGGTATCAGGGTTTCCACAAAAATATTGTTTTCCCCATTAATAATAATAATAAGAGATATATCTTGAGCAGCAAATCACCATATTAGAATGATTTCTGAAGGATTATGTGACACTGAAGGCTGGGGTAATGATGCTGAAAATTCAGCTTTGCATTACAGAAATATATTACATTTTAAAGCATATTAGAAATCCTTTTTTTTTTTTTATTGTAATAATATTTCACAATTTTACTGTTTTTACTACTTTTTTTGTTGATCAAATAAATGCAGCCTTGGTGAGCATAAAAAGACTTATTTCAAAAACAAACAAACAAAAAAAAATCTTCTCATCCCTAGGAGTTGAATTAAATATGAAAAGTGGGCTATGAAATAATTAATATTGTTCCCCCTCCTACATGACTGGTTACACCAGAAGAACAGAAAAGCCATTTCAGAGACAGAGAAAGATTTTGATACCAAAAATGACTCGCTTTTAATACACATTTTTGTGTACAATAAGATCAGGGACATTTATTATAAACGTAAGTTTGATTTCATGCTGTCATGGTGTTTAAGTAAAACCCACCTTCTTTTGCGTTGTGAATGATGTTCTTGCAGAGCAGGTCGTTGTGACAGAGCACTACAGGAGAGCCCAGCTGCGACAGGTGTTCCTTCATCCACATCATTTCCTGTTCTAGCACTTCCTGACTGGGCACTTCCTGCTGAATTCTAATTCAGAGAACACAGAAACAGATCGGTAATTCAAGCACATGACAAACAGAGAGTCAAGAGTGTTTGACAAAAGAATAATGCCACAAAATTAAATTTTTGGAAAATTAAACTGTTCAATTAATGTTCCCATAATTTTGCACACCCTTCCTAAACAAGGCACAGGGTTTGAGGTATCATTTATGACCATAGATCAAACAGTGCAGGATGAGTTACACATACAATTTCTATGCTCATGGTTAGGGGTTTGTTCAAATCATTAATCTCAAGTACGAGTAATAGAAATTGCCTTAGCAAACATCATTAATATATTAAATTTATGTGGCCGGCCACTTCAAATCTCATCTGCAAAGCTCAAATTCTCTTTTGAATGAACTTTTCAATTAAATTATTAATCATAAAAGTTTTAAAATGTAAAAATTGCTTAATACACCTTCAATAAATCAATTTGCTAACACTACTACTGTAACTTTCATTAACCAACAATGAGCAGTACATTTGATACAGTATTTATTCATCTTTGTTGATCTTAGTTAATAAGTTCATGTTAGCAAAAGTCCATTAAATAACATTAAGAAACACACTACACACTAATAATGTTTTATTATATGCCGAAATCAACATCTCACAGCTACTTTAAGCAGGCTGTGTGAATTTTACTGTGGACTGACTGTTTTGAAACTTATATGGTAGTTACATAGCACCTAGACCTCAGTTATCATGAAAAAAGCCAGGAAATTTCAGTTTTGACTATGGGACCTTTAAGATTACTAAAAGCTTTAGAAGTATTTTTCATTGTCAGTTCATGTACTTAAACTTAACAACCTTATTGTAAAGTGTTATCAACTAAATACTTCATCAGGTTTAACTTAAAGGAAATTCAGTCCAGTTCGACCAATGAGAAAGCCTGTCTGAGTGACCACTCTCCCCTTGTAATGGGCTTAAGGAGCTATTTCTAGAATCTTCTTTTGTGCTGCAGTGGCTCACTCAAAACCTAGCAGTACTGATCTGCTTTGTTGCTTGTATAAAGTAACCGCAAACTACTGCGTGAAATCGTCCTATTAGACTTTGGGCAGTAACATAAACTCCCTCAGAGAAACTCTTATGAAACGAATGCTCTAATGACTGCTGATGACGTAAATGACTTCGCATGTGCATTATCTCTGGCTCCCGATAAACGTCAGGATGCAAACAGCCGCCAGCTTTTAAGAGCGAGCATCTTTGTTAAGGAAGACAGTGGAGATGATTATGTGACATAACAGCTCTCTGCATGAGATTAGATGGACGGAAGCAATCTGTGCACCGCGAAACACCTGTCTGAGCAAAATCAAAGTTTACTGAGGTTTCAAACGGCTTTAATGGGTCTCATCCAATCAGATTCTGAGCTGTGAACTATTTGTGTTAGAATTTGAATTTTAATGAGATCATTTAAGATTCACTCTCTGAAGGTTACCTGACGTTAGAGGCTTGGTCTGTGAACTCAGTGGCCACCAGCGAGAAGTACTTGCGCATTTTGATCCACAGGTTGGGTTTGGGGATGCAGCCGTTGTGTGCGTGGATGGCGTGAATGCGGGCCATTTCTCGTGCGATCAGTCTGCCAATAATAACAAAGGAAGACGTTGGTCAAAATGGCAATGTTCAATTTCAGCTTAAACACAATGCCTGGAAAAAGCTGTTTGTGTGGAAACATGGACATTAGCCCAGGGTCACCAGTGTAGACTTTGATACGGTTCACTGTGTGCCTGGAAGGAGATTACATGACCCTCATGAAGTGCACATGAACTTCACTCCAAATTTGCAGTTAGCTTAGACTATATAAAGAATGTTTGCACAAACCATTCTTCAATATTTAAAGACATTTTTTCAAAGGGTGCTTACTATGTCAGCTTTGTTCTTGTTATTTCTTTTTCAACAAATTATGTTTCTATTTAATTATTTCAAATAGTGATACTCCAACTAATTAACATATATTCATTGGCATAAATCTATCGCTTACCAAGAGTGATTAGTATTTTACCTATTACATTTTAACGGTACATTCATTATACTTTTACTCAGCAAGGATGCATTAAACTGATCATAAGTGAAGACAATTTATTGTTACATATATATATATATATACACACATACACACACTATTTATAAAAAAAATCCTGAAAAAAAAGGTATCACGGTTTCCAAAAAAATATTAAGCATCACAACTATTTTCAACATTGATAATGAAAAGAAATGTTGAGCAGCAAATCAGCATATTAGAATGATTTCTGAAGGATCATGTGACACTGAAGACTGGAATAATGATGCTGAAAATTCAGCTTTGCCATTACAGAAATAAATTACATTTTAAAATATATTCAAATAGAAAAGTTATTTTAAATTGTACTAATATTTCATATTACTGTTTCTACTGTATTTTTTTTATCAAATAATTGGTGAGCATAAGAAACTTATTTTAAAAACATTTTAAAAATCTTAAAGATCTGAATGCTAGTGTATACTAAGCATTTTCAGTATTGATGTATGAAATTTATTTTTTAATTCATTGCAATGCATTTTGGGATTCTCTTATCAAAGGATAGTATCTCTGGACAATTTGGACAAGTCAGGTATAATTATGTAATTAGTACAATTACAAAAATGCAAGTAGCATAAGGTTTTGGAAAAGAGCTACGGTCAGTTTTAATGACTTCCTTATTATAATCACAAAGGCCAAAATAGACACGGTATTTTAAGCTAAAATCAGAGTGAAGTACTCTGTGTTCTAACCCAAATGCCTAAGTCAAAAGACCAAATAGATGTGTTATTTTTAGAACGAACACCCATTTGGATCCTTCTATTTTGTGCCTTGTGCTGAACGGACGCACCTGAGTAACACGGGGTCCCTGACGTCTTGAGTATCCAGAGCGCGTCCTTGCATGAACTCGTAGCAGATGCCATTCTGGAAAGTGCAGTAAAGGCGGGGCGCACAACCGTTGGCGTGCAGAACCTGGAAGCTCTTCAGTTCGTTGTCTCGGTCCACGATCAGCTCCGTCTTGTTGCCGTACACCCTCACCAGCACCACATCGTCAAGGCAGTCCTCCACATAACACCCCACCAGTTTGTTAGTTGTGCCATCTGTGAAAAGCTGAAGGAACAAAAACACATAAGTACGGATTACAATCATGGCTACTTTTTGTTGCAGGATGCATAAACTTTACAGTCAGCTTGAAACGGCATTCATAACCAGTTTTACTTCTGTAACGTGGTGTATTTCATGTATCAAGAACTGCATGCTGATCAGTCAGAAATTAAAATTTACTAATTCTCTGGCCATCCAACATGTAGAGGAGTTAGTTTGTTCTTTGGAATGGAACAGACTTGGAGAAATTTGTCATTACATCACTTGCTCAGCAATGGATCCTCGGCAGTGAATGGGTGCCGTCAGAATGAGAGTTCAAATAGCTCATAAAAACATCACAATAATCCACAAGTAATTCAGACCACTCCAGTCCATCAGTTAATGTCATGCAAAGCGAAAAGCTGTGTGTTCGTAAGAAACAAACCCATCATTAAGACGTTTTTAACCTCAAACCGTTGCTTCCGGCTAAAATATGAGTCCTCTATCCATAATATTGCTATATACAGTGGAAAAGTTATCTTGTCTGAATCTGGAGAGAAAAGTGCACAGATCAAGCACTGTTTACAAGTGAAAATAGTTCTAAACCAATATGTCGGTGGATTTTGATGCGAGAGGACAATAGCGTTATTATGGAATATGGACTCGTTTGACTCATATTTTGGCCAGTTTAAAGTTAAAATGCCTTAATGGATTCATTTCTTACAAACACACAGCTTTTCACTTGACAAGATATGAATTGATAAACGTGATAGAGTTGTGTGGATTACTGTGATGTTTTCATCAGCTGTTTGGACTCTCATTCTGACGGCACCCATTCACTGCAGAGGATCCACTGCTGAGCAAGTGATGCAATGCTACATTTCTCCAAATCTGATCCCATGAAGAAACAATCTTGGATGACCAGAGGGTGAGTAAATTTGAGCAAACTTTCATTTTTGGGTAAACTAGTTCTTTAAAGAAACAAATAGGCTATTTCAAAAAATTCAAACGTCAATCACAATGGAGCATATGATAAACTGTCAAGATTTAAAATGCTTTGTGTTTGTAGCAATGTATCCCACAGTTCACTGCACCGGCCTTGCCACCCACCAATGCATTTCTGAGATTCCTGAAATGACTAATGTACAAACAGCACGACTGGTCAACATACAGAGGATGAATTCAACTCTGAGCAGGTGCCGTTTTGACTAAGTGTTGTTTTATACACTTATATCTTATGTGTCTCAATAGTAAATGGGTTCAAGATAAATTGCTGACAGCAAATATTCCATAATTATACGCACAAATGCAGGATAGTTTGAATATTAAAAACTGATTTAATGGTCAGTGTTTACAGTTGAGCCTAGGTCGACCACAACACAACGTCCAACTCTTTCAGCTATGTCATATGACCGTGCGGATCTCCTAAACGGCTGGAACGCCAGAGCTCATCTTGTTGTAATCTGATGAATGGTATCAGTATGCCATGTGCCAACAGAGGAGCTTTATTTTGAGCATTTTGGCTTCATTCAAACGACTGTACCAAAGCAGCTGTGAACAATACATTTGGGCACAATGTGTGTTTTTCATTGATGAAAACTATGCTGGCTATCTGTAAACGGTGCCGTGCCACCCGCATGGAGGTCGAACGGGATTAGGTTCATTCATCCTGGCTTCAAACCTGTAGCAAACACAAGTCATGTTATTGTCCAACAGTAGTCACCCTAAAATCTTAAGAATAAAATATGAAAATGAAGCTTATCTTTTAGGACCAGGACCAAGGATGTGTCAGTGTAAGAGTTTTGGGCCATGTGTTTTTGTCTCATGCAAATTTAGATAAACTGAATATCACTGTTGTGCATTCTGGAGATTTGAAAGTGACCAAGGTTACATTATCTAGCTGGCTGGCTTAGTTGACGTTTTGTCGAATTCACAACAAGGGCTTTTGAAAGGAATGAGATAGAAACTTATAAAGGAATCAGAAGGTTTGCATCATATGTCATCAATTTCCTGAAAAAAGTAGTGTGGGGATATATAATGTGTATATAATTGAAATTTTGACTTCATCTTTTTTTAAATAGCAAAATCATGTTAAAATGAGTTTCAAATATGATACATCAGTCTTTTGGGGAATGTTTATTTGTTCATCTCTCAATCATCACTGTATTGCATTGCATTATAGCTATATTTTAACCCAAACTAAAAACCAGAGTGTGATCATAAAACTAAGCATTTAAACATCTTGCTAAGACATTATTGGGAGATATAGAGTGACAACTGATATTAATATGCATTTTATGCAAGTAGTCCGCTATGCTTGTATAAATACATAAATGGGACAAGCGGTCTCTGCCAAAAGACAAACAAACAATAATAACACTGTACAATAGTAACCTTCACTTCCCATCACATCATAAATGAAAACACTCAAAAAGATATGACAGATAAGGCTGACAATAGGTGCAATAATGCAAAGTTTATAGTTGTGTTAAGTGTGTAGCCCATGTGGCGATGGGTGGAGACATCAGGCCAGACAGTAAAGTGTGACTCCACCGAGTCTGATCAGCTGCATTAGGATAAACTACCTCACAGGCTACAGTAAGGGAGGTTTGCTTTATTACTATTAATAACTGTGTGAAGATTGTGATCCTCCTAAATTAAAATCAACGTTATTTTCTGATGAAGTCGTGAGACATTGATCCGATTACGCAAATGGAATAGGGTCATCACTTTTGAGTCAAACGTGGTTTTGGGTCGAGTCAATCTAATCAGATCAACTAGTTTCAAAGCAGAACGCCAGGTGGGGGATAACCTCTCATTCAGAGGGGACCTGTGTCAAGAACAAAAGAAGAAAAATGTGTAACTGTTGCACCAGCATAGTCCAGATTGACCATTATGTAAAATATCCGTGTGTATACACAGAAACTTCAACAACATGACCTGCAACAAAATGTATTGACACCACCTGTGTGACCAAAAAGAACTTAGTTTAAAAAAAAAAAAAAAATCAGATTTCTGTATTATATACAGTATATTTATGTAAATGCCACATCAGTACATTTACATGATGGCAATGCACCTTACTAAGCAAACTCATTTCACTGTACTTAGAGATTTATTGAGGTGTCAAAATGCGGGGGCATGCAAACACAACAGTGTTGACACTATAATGAAAGCACAGATGAACATGACCTTAACACACATCATAACCTAAACTTTTTAAAATCCCTAACATTTTTAAATGATCAAATTTAGATATTTAACTAATAGATATTAACTTTTTTAATATTATTAACTTTCAAGCTCATTTTATATATATATATGACCTTAAGTCGCTGGGGTATATTTGTAGCAATAGCCAAAAATACAATGTATGGGTCAAAATTATAGATTTTTCTTTTATGCCAAAAATCATTAGGATATTAATTAAAGATCATGTTCCATGAAGATATTTTGTAAATTTCCTACTGTAAATATATCAAAACTTAATTTTTGATTAGTAATATGCATTGCCAAGGACTTTGTTTGGATAACTTTAATGGCGATTTTCTCAATATTTAGATTTTTTTGCACCCTCAGATTCCAGATATTCAAATAGTTGTATCTCGACCAAATATTGTCCTATCCTAACAAACCATACATCAACGGAAAGCTTCAGCTTCCAGATGATGTATAAATCTCAATTTTGAAAAAATGACACTTAAGACTGGTTTTGGGGCCCAGGGTCACATATATATATTCCTATAAGGGGTGTAATGATATACCAATGCCACGGTTCAGTTTATATCACCGTTTTGGAGCCACGGTTCTGTTCGGTTGGGTTTAGTGTGGAGGTAGGGTTCATGGCACCAGCAATGCTAAAGAATACTAGATTCACTTTTAACTTAATAATAATAATAATATCAATAATTGCTCTCTGTTAGTTTGTGCTAATTAATGCATTAACAAATGAGACTTTAAAAACTGTTGCTTTGTAAAGTGTTACCAAAAAATCTATTGCCTTAAAAAATTTTTTTAAATAAAATAATGCCTAAATAATGCAAACAAGTCACTGGACAACATTTCTTAGTCTACATATAAAAATACATGTGTCATGGATAAATAAAATGGAATATCCGAACAATAAGGAAATGATTTTAATCAAATATGCAATAACTAGGGTTGCAAAATTCCGGGAATTTTCAAGACTGGAAAATTTCCATGGGAATTAATGGGAATAAACTGGGAATTTGCAGGAACAGGGAACTTAAATGTAGTTGAAAGAAAAAAAAAACTCTTGCAGAATAATCTTAGTTAAAACAACCAGATTTAATGCAATTTCAATTGAATTTCTACCCTGCACATTCCTCAATCACATGCACACAGCACACTTACAGCAGGACTATCCCCTACATGCACTGTGCATTCCTCCATAACATGCACAGATAATTTCTTCAATGAATGTCAACTATTACATAAATTTATGTTTAAAACTTTCTTGTGCTGTGTGTAAGCTATTGCGCAACAAAATTATACCATTGTAAAAGGAAATACACTGAGCAAACATTTAGGTGATGAGATAAAAAAACTAAAACAATCCCCCAGTCACCTTAGGGGGGAATTCCCCCACATTTTCCAGGCATTCAAGTAAGTTTTGATATTACTTGAGTAAATATATTTGATCTATGGCAGCGGTTCTCAATTCCAGTCCTCGCATACCCCCGCTCTGCATGTCTCTCTTTGTTAACACACCTGATTCAGATCATCATCTCGTTATAAGTGAGCTACGTGCATGAACTGTGTTCTGATTGACATGGTCCCTACACAGTGTCCATTGCTCCCTACTCCCTGAGCAGGGGAAATCCGTTGAAGTTTACTTCACTTCGGAATATTCATTTACAGATATGCGCTGCGCCACTGCCTGCAGCGTCTTCACACACATACGAAACTTATTAGAGAAGCGTGAAGTGGGACATAATATACCTCTGTAAATAAATACAATTTAAATTCACGTCTCGCACACTTAAATGCCCATTGTATGGAACATA